TAATATGAATATATAATATAACTTTTTATACTATAAATATTTTTATTAAATCATTAACTAGATTTTATTTTTAATTGCAATTTTCACATAATTTCAAGAAAATATTTTCAAGAAAATTTTAAATTGTAGTTTCAAAATATAATTATAAATTATTTTATAGTGGATAATTTCATATTTTAATGTATTTGTTAATATTTATCATATATAATATATTTTATATTTTAATCAAATAATTTACTTTTTTAAATTATATTTTATGTTTAATAGATATAAACTATATATTTAAAAATAATTAAATATGTAAGTAAGTACTTATACAAGACGCAGAAGGCAACACAGCTTGACTGTTTTAGAAGTCAACCGACAAGATTTAATTGGTGATTCCTGAGACGATTTTGAATAAACTTTTCTTTTGCAAATTTTTGTTTCGGCTTTGTTAACGAGTTAAAAATACTGCTCAATCATAGAATACGTACACTAGTCGCACCACAGTGATAGCATTAGATATATGTTATTAGCGAGTCACTGAGCTCGATATATTTTGCTTCAATTGTTTGTTTAAATCCAATGACTCGTTGATGGCACAATTAATAGTATCGCTGCGGTACGACAGGTGATTGGCTAATATTTTTCACTAATAATTTGTTAATATAATTTTTATTAATGAATCTGAAACAAAACTTTTTACAAAAAAAAAGTTTAGTTAAAATCAGAAATCATTTTTGAGACAGAAGTCTCCTATATATTTACATTATATTTTTAAATTATAATTTTATATTTCAATAATTTAAATATATTTAATTAATTATATTTTTATTTTGAATATTCTAAGTTATGTATAATTTATCATTTTAAAAAAAGAGGAAAATAAAAACTATTTTAAAAATATATAGTTACGTAGGTATGAGAAGGTCATATATGTATATGCATATGTATGTACATAATTGCACTCCTATTCCTATCATTCAAAACTACATATCGTTTAAAAAATAGGTTTCTATAGATCTTATAATTTCATTTTATGTAATTTATGGTTATTATAATTTAATTTTTTATGTTTTAAATACTTGGTCATTTTTTATTATATTAATTATCTATTATATTAATAATTAATCATTTTGTATATTATAACCTATATATATGTTTTTACGTTAACAATTTTAAGATCATTTTCTTATGGAATAATATTGTCATCATTTTATTTTAATAGAAATTTATTTTTTTTTAAATGCAGATACTTTGTTCGTGTTAATTTGGAAATTTCGGCATGAGTGCTATGTTAAATTCAAGAGCTGAACAATATTTCTATAGTATAAATCCCTTGGCACAAAGGATAGGAGAAGATATAACTGCAACTAAGGAAGCCTATGAAGGTTTATGGAATACATTAAGTATAGCAGAACGGAATCAAGCAATTAATGAAACCATCATTCAACCAGAAGTTGCATTAAAATATACTTTAAAAAAGCCAGAACTTACTAAAGAATTACCAGAATGGTATCCAAAATTACGTATTCAGACAGGAATGAAATATGTTATTGATGAAACTGGTTCTGTAAGTATTATTAAATAATATAAATTAAAATAATATTAAAATAATAATAATATAAATTATAATAATTAATGTTAAATGTTAATTTGTTTCATATTCAAATTCATAATGTTATTTTAAAATTTATTAATTAAAACAAATTTTTTATTATAATATTATAGACATTACGATGGCGTGATGAACATTCAGCTCCATTTTCATTTATGACTCAATCACAAATGAATCTTAGTATAATAGATACATCAGAGGATGTAAAATCAAAGTTAATAAGAGCTCAATTTGGAGAATCACCACACTTTTCAAGTCCAGTAAAATCACAAAAAAATAATTCAAACTCTATTAATGATACTTATACTTCATCTCATACACTTAATTGTTTTCAATCTGATTGTTTCTCAAATAATATTTTTGAAGATGAACAATGTTGTAGCTTATTAAAAGGCAATGTTGATAGTGATCATTCTGAAAGTATATTTGCTAAATTAATGAACAAAACATCTTTGTTAAAATTACAAAACAATTTGGCAGAAGATATGGAAAGTTTAGTCAGAGAAAGGGATTCAGATACTGATAAAAGTCAAACAAATACATTAGTAGTAATGTCACGTACAAAATCAAGCGATATTAATGAGTCAACAGCATTGTTAGAAACACCTAGTTCTTATAGTAGTTTTCAATCTTCTCAATTGAACCAAGAGGAAGAGGAACGAACTATACCAAAAACTGGTTTTGAATTTCTTGATAATTGGTAAATATATGAGTAAATAGAGGTAGATATAAGTTAGATGTTTTGTATAATTATGTTTATTATGATAAAATTGATGCTATTAGTTATTAATATTGATATATATAGATGCACACGAATAAAAGTATTGTTGCGAACACGCAATGACAGTTTTGGAACTTTTGTAATTTCTAATAGCAGGATAGCACAATCATATGTATTGTATTAGAAAACATAAATTATTGAATTCTAATAGAATGACATTGTGCACCTGATCTTAGATTGTATTAAATCATATTTTATAAAATTTTAGTTCCTAAAATGGTAAATATTATGTTAGTATTGATCAATATAATAATACTTTAGATAATATTTATTTTTGAATATATCTTAAGATATATTTCTCTAATAACAATTATGATCTCAAATTGCAATGTATTTGTGAAATAATTTTATTATAAGAGTATTAATTATAATTGAAATTAAATCAGGGATAATGTCATATGTATATTTAAGATCATAAATTTTGCATGTATTATATATAAATTTTTATATTATTATAACATATAAATATATATATATATATAAAGGCTTTTTTTTAATATGTAAATACTATATATAAGAGTATCAATATAAATACATTGATAAAATACAAAAAAATAAGGATAATTAAGAAGATTAAGAAGAATATTTTATAAAAACTTAATATTTTAAAATAATCATCTTTGCATTTTTGTATAAACAAATTTTTATAATTCAATACGGTGATGCATTTTTTTAAAATAATCGTCGATCTCCATTATTTGATTATAAGACATATTATAAAAAATGTATAATTGAAAAACTTTTTTATTTTATATTATTTGTTTCTTATATTTAAATATGACAAATTTATTATTAATTTGTTTCTTGATTAAATTATATTGAATAAAATATATTTATATATTTTATATAAATTATTTAGATTTATCAATTTAGATTTATTAAAAGATTTAAAAGATCTTATAAAATAACGTAAATTATTGTTAATTGCTCTCTTATCTTCCTCTTTTTTTGTAAAAAATGAATGAATGAATGAATTAATTATATTAATAAAATGAAATACATACGTATATACTGCCTGAAACGGGTCATGCTTGAGTATTTAGTAATTAAAAAAATATCAAGTCATTTTTATTAAAATATATATGCATATATATTATACAGAATTTTCGAAGCATTTATTATGATATTTAAATACATTAATCTATTTAATATGATTGTCTTCTTTATTAAATGAGTTTTATTCCTTTCTTGATTCCTAAAAGTTTCACTCTTCATGTAGTCCAAAAACCTGAGAGCCAAACTAGTAAAAAAAAAGTATTAAAAAACTGGCTATACATTCTTTTTCTTGAAATTTCTAAATGATTTATACCTTCTGTTCTGGGAGATTGAATTATAGTTATATTTTCATCTCCACCACCAATTTGTCCGATTTTTGAATTATTGTAATAGCCGAAGATATTTTTATTTGCTCGTGTGATACAATAAAATTCTTCTAGATCAGTTGATCTCGTTAATTTGGCTTCTGATTCTTTCTCAAAGGGTGACACCAGTATCAGACGCCTTTTTGACGATGTCCGGACTGAAACTAGAACAATCCTTTCATCATATTTATTACGAAAAAAAACAAATAATATTAAAAACATAATTTAATAATAATATTTAATAATTCTCTTAAAATTTTAAGAATATAATACTAGAATATTTACCACTTTTGCTGATTTTATCACCTGATGCACCCTTAGCTGTGTTTTTCGATTTTTGAGATAGTTCTTCAGATAAGGTAGTCAAACTTTTTGAAAGAATGCTTGATCGACTATTTTTATCGGAGAAAAATCGGCAAGGAACATCCAATTCATTCTTATTTTCCATTCGAACAAAATTTCCTTGTTTCTGCAGAAAATCATCTAAAAATCATTTGTTGATTATTGATAAATTTTATTCTATATTTAATTTAATTTATTTTATATTTATTTTCTATATTTTATTTACATTGAAATAAACTTAAAAATAATAAAAAATAATAATCATTAAACCTCCTTCTTCTTTCACATCTGTATTCACAGGACTACATTTTCCAAAACCGGAACATTTTTGTCCACCAAAACAATTTTCTTCTTTAAAATTTTTTTTAAATCGTTCATAAATGTTTTTATCATCCATCAGTGTACGTGGAACTGTATCATCTTGTACGTTACTGCTACAAAACTTGTATTGTTCCATTGCTTGGCGTTCGAGTTCCTATAACAAAATTGGTTATTTTTTAAAATATATGTATCAATCTTATAAAACAATTTCGATTCGATAGTGATATTATGATAAAAAGATATATTTTGATACATACGAATAATTTTAGTGAATTTCTTAAATGTATTTGCAAAATTTGCAAATGAAGCGAACATCACGATTTAAAGTAAATGAATGTAAGAATAAAATATTATACTTGATATTTAAGCGCCAAAGATTCCTCTGAAGTTCTATATTGCTCCATTGCTTGTTGTTCTAATTCATCGTACCTAATATTAATTATACATTATATATACGTACGTATTATCATTACTATCACTATAACAAGAATGAAATATCTAGAGATGAGTTGCTATTTTAAATTTGTGAAATTTGTGTTTGTATTTGTGACACTTTGTGAAGTTTTGAAACTCTCGAAACTAAAACTTTTTTTTTTCTAAGGATTAGAATTCTGCCAAGAATTTAATAAATTTTAATTTTTGAAATTTTTTAAATTCAAATGAGACAATTGTCAATAATAATAAATAGTCGTTTTTTTTTTTTGATTTGTAAAAAATTAAATTTTTACTTTTATTATTTGTATCATTTTTTTTCCATTTTTTTCCAAAAAAATTATATTAACATAAAATTATGCTAATTAAAATATATCAACAATTTAAATATAAATTTAATTATTATCGGATAAATAAATCGGATAAATAAAAAAAAATTCATATTAATACCAATATTTTTGTGAATTGCAAGTTATATATAAATTATTTTTTACCTGAATTTCGAGAAATTCGAAACACAAAAATAATTTTAAAGATTTTATAAGATTTGTGAACACGAATCTTTTGAGTTTTGAAAATAAAAATAATATTAAAAAAGTAATCTTAAGAATTACTATTAATATCTTATTTTTTTTTTGATAAAATATATATTAAATATAAAATATTTTTACCTTTTTTCAAACACGTTTTCCAAAGTAGTTTGATTCGCAGAAGCATTGGTTAGGACATCTCTATAAAGCCTTCTTCTGTTTCGCGTATCATTTTTATCTCTTTCACTGCTTGTCTTCGCGTTCGATCCTGGCACTTCTGGTTTTATTCGTTCACTACTTCTTGTGATATCCTTTTCTCGTTTGGTATTAGAAGTTTTTCTATCATTTTTTTCTTCAAAATTTCTTAATTCCGTGACTAGAGTATTAGCAGTAGAAAAATCTTTTGTTTTTGATGGACAACTCTTATCCAGCCATTGTAGGACCTCGGATTCTGATTTGGAACCTCGATTTTTTCCTTCAATATAGTGAGAAGGCTTATGTTGCGTGCTCTTTGGTTGTCCACGGTGAGCCTTCATTGCATTTTTCGTCAACAATATCAAATTCTTAAAATCAACGCCTTGGTTTTTTCTTTTTTGCCCTGTTTCATGATACAATTCTATAGGATGTTGATAAACAGGTATTGGTATAGGATTCGATTGTAAAAATTTGTCTTGCACCTGAAATATATCTTTGATTAATTCTAATTGTTATACGCACGAATAAAATATATGTTTTTTATTATTTTAAAATGACCGATTGTTTTCCACCTGTAAGGGATGATGAGTGATAGTAGTAGTTCGCAGAGGTTGTACAGAGGTACACATTGGCGTTGAGGAGGAGGTGGATATCTGTATTTGTGCCGGTGGTGGTATCCTTTGATACCATTGTTGCGGAGGTCGAATGAATGTTGTCGCATCGGTAGCTGACAGCAATGGTATACCCGTACTCTGAAATGCACAACTTCAGAGTATGTCTTTTTTTACTTTCTTCTCAAAAAACAAGAAAGAAATATAGATTGATATTACAGAAAAATACATAAACACAATATGAATATAACATTACAGAATATTTCTATGAATTTTCAAATACTGATGAAAAATTGAAATTAGAAAAAAAAAAAAAAAAATTAGAAAGATAAATTATCTCCAATATTGATATAGTACCTGGTATATAGCTCCTGTATTTTCGTAAGTTCTGTTATAAGGAAATAATTCGTTTTGATAACTTCTCTCATTAAGGGATGGGAAATATTGTACGCGATTAACATTTTGTTCCTTGTTGCTGTTGAATCTTGTCACCGGCACCTTTGGAAAAAATTCCGGCACTTCTGGACTGAGAACTGGTGGCAAATGTTTCCTTATTCCATAAGTTTCGGTTCTCGCTGCTTGATATTCCGTTCTAAGTATTAATGGTCGATATTGGACTGTATAATAGAATTGTTGCTGGCGTTCCTTGTTCTGGCAATTCTGCTCTCGAGGTTGTTGCAGACGATAACACTGCAAACGCATTTTCTGTTGGAGAAATTGCTGTTGGACATTGCTGCCCACTTTCCATAAGTTTCGAACTGCGTCACTAGTTACGCGAATATGTAACTGCATCTCCATTGAATTTTCGATGGTGTAACGTTGATATTCGTAATAATTATCCAACTTTTCGGTAGGATCTGACTCTTGACAGACAGCATCGTTTTAATTAGCAAAAATTTAATACAATTTCTATTAGAGAATAAGTTATATTTTCGTTCAAATTTGGAAAAAAAGATGTTATACAGTGCAATCCATTTAAAATATTCGAATATTCGAATATCTTCGAATTATGATGGCGTAAAAAATATTTAATATAAATGTATCACCAAAAGATCAAAATCTACAACATAAGAATATTTTTTTCTGAGGTCAATTTTTTTTGAAGTTTTCACGATTAATGATATTTTTTTGTACATAATTATTTATCATGTATTTTTTTCATCGCATCGTAATTGTAGCTAATCAAAATATATATGTAAATATATATACTTTAAACGGTCTTGATTTCCAAAAATTAAAATTTTATGTAAAATTTAAATCTATCGAAATATTTGACAAGAATTTTAATTTAAAATGTCATCGAAAACTTATAAATGTAAATAAACATATTATCGTAATACTAATAATCCTTGATGGTTTGAAATTTTGCTCATTTTCTTTTTATCAACAATTTAATAACATACCATTCACAATCAATTATTCGAATTATGCAAAAAGAGATCGATATGATATTTATTTATAGTAAAAAAATGAGTATTTGAGAGAAGCAGTACGAAGACAAATTTCCTAATTATAGTTGTTCATTACATATATGTATTCAAAGATGATCAATAATTTTGGTAAAATTGATAATATTGTGAAAAAATGTGTGAAAATTAAAATTATTAAAAATAAAAGAAATAAAAGAGTTATTATAGATAAAATTAAAAATTCATATATGAATTTAAAGAATGAATTAAGAACATGAATTAAGAGAATTTGAGTATGTGAAAGTGATATTTCCAAAATAAGCATAATAATATAAATATTTCAAGAAGAAAGTATTTTATCGATACCAGGATGTTCGTGAAATAGATTTTTATAAATCGTATGTATTTTCTTCAATGAAATTTACAACAATACGAAAATAACGAATATATTTCTTAAAAGAGTATTATTTACTGATGAAGCATCGTTCACTAATCATGGGCAATTGAAGATACATGCATTACTAATCGATTGAGAATCCATATTAGTTAAAATTAATGGATAAACAAAGACATAAATGTTTATTGTGGCCAATCATAACCAAATAATATATTCATATCACGTAAATGGATATATTCTAAACGAAGAAAAATATATAATATTCTTGCAAAATGCTATAAGTGATCATATATGATGTACCATTAGATATGCGTCTAAGAATGCAGCCGGTACCAACAGCCGGTTATTCAGAATCATATACACATTTTGTCAGATATATTTTAATATTTTCAATTGATAAATTGATCATAATGGAATTGTAGTATGTAGTATTTGTTAAAGTTTATATTAGTAGATGTTTTTTTTGTGAGAAAGATTAAAAGAAATAGCTTATAACAGATAAAAGCAAAGAATATAAAAATAAGAAAATATAAGAATACAAGAATAATTAGAGCCTGTGTGTGCTGTTATTAATTCAAAATCGAAAGATCGTTACAATAATATTATATTTAGACAATGTATTATCATAGAAAAACACCATTTTTAAATATCTATGAGGAATGATAATTTAAAGTGAATGTTTTTTTTGTACATTTCATGATTAGACCTTCATGACCTTCTAGATATTAGATTATACAATAAAAATAATTTTTTTTCATATTCATAGATTCGCACGCCTTGGCCAAATCCTGCAAATCCTTTTATATTTAAATTAAATTTAAATTTTTCACAAAATTGATCCTTGATCTAGAGATTAAGGTCATTTCAAAATCATTATACATATCTGAATGTATTTTTTAATTATACACTGTGATGTGATAAAAAGAAATATCGATAACTATAAAAATTAAAAAAACTAAAAAAAAAAAAAAAAAAAAAT